CCCCCCTTAAATGTAAATAATTAATAGAAATTTATTGTACCTGCCCAGGGGTCATTGCCATAGGAAGCAAGCGACCTTGAATGACAGGTCAAATAGGTCTTTATACCCTATTTCTGCATCACAGCAAGCAGGAAGAGACGCAGCAGCTGAATCATTGCTGTTAGCCTAGGGGTAGGGCGGGGAGGAGAATTGCATAGTACAAGGGGGGGTAGGGGTGTATCAAGCCTCTACTCCCTCGCACTCTCTTATCTCAAGTTTCTCCTCCTAGTTCTTCCCCTCCCTACACACTCCCTTATCTTCAAGCCTCTTCTCAAAATTCTCCTCCCCACCCTTAAGGGGGCTGTGACTAATGGATTCAAAGGAAGCTGCTTTTCCAAGGGTAGGGGGCTTGGTTATCACAGTTGGGAGCAAAGCAACTTCACAAATAGAAACAGGCGGCCAATTCTTGATGCCTCCTCAGTGCAACTTCCCGACTCTGGAGCTACACGGACGGCAACAAAGCCCCTGGCCCCATCTTTAAAACGATTTCTTTCCTGCAACCCATCTGTCCTAGATGGACATCCACTCTAGACATCAGTTTTACATATTATTTAGACCCTAATTGGGTAGCTGATGAGTTCAGTGAAAACAGTGTCAATGAGTTGTATGTTTAAGTGGTTCTTCATATCACATTTAAAGGTAAGAGATGAGAGGAGATGATGCCATGACTTCAAGAAACTGAGTGTATAATTAGCCTCATGAAGTGTACAACCTTCAATGTTGTTAACTGCTGCAGAGAAGCATTCAGACAAAATAATCCCTAAGTAGGTTATAGGCCCTGAGAGCCTGGAGGGAAGTTTAGAGGACTTCTGGCCTCTCTTATTTGGAGCGGGCAATTCTCTGCTGATGCTTCTCTAACCTAACTTCTTGGTAGCCTTTAAAAGCAATTCTTAAAGCAACAATGGAATAGAAGTTATGTTAAAATGCAATAAAAATAAAGGTTAAAAGTTATAAAGTAGAAATAGAGGAGATTTTAAGCCGAAGATGAAAGACTGGGGCCAATGAGCTGAAAGGTTACAATTTTTTTTTTTTGAAAAGATAAAAAAGGTTAAGATGAAAGGCTAAGGCCCATGAGATGAAACACGGAAAAGAATTGTGTAAATTTGATCAAGGGTTGAGCACAAAAGCACTTACAAATGAAAGCCGGTGCCGAGAAAAGAAAACAATAAGAGAAAATACAGACTTTTAAAATGAAAAGGCGGAAAGCTGAGAGATTAAGGAGATAAGGGATACGTAGGGGAAGAGGAAGGGAGAAAAAATGAGACGGGATAAATCCTGCTAGAAGCAAACTGAGAGGAAGCGTTGGATTTCAGAGGACATCGGTGTCAAGAGGCCACATGGGGAGGCACTGGGGATAGGAGATTAGAGAGGATGCATCCCTGCCCGCCATTATCCAGATCCTGGAACCCCACCCAGGACCCACACAGAGAAGGGGCTCCCTCCCCACCGCATGGAACTAGGAGCATTAGGACCACCCTGTCCCCTTGTAACATTGTCAAGAAACCAGGCAAGTCACCCCTGGTCCCACTCCATCAGCCAACTTACCCAGTTCTCAGAGTCTGAAAGACCTGAGTTCACCTCCCAGATGGATTCCTTGTTGACTGTGTGACTTTGGACAAGTTACTCTCTCAACCTCTCTGAGTCCCAGGATCCCTCTCTGAGTTGTAACAGTTGTAACAGGAGGGGCTAATGACGACAGGAGCACCAACAGTAGAACTCATCTTTGTCTCATTACTAATATTTTTTATTACTTTGCTTCTAGAGGCAGTCTAAGC